CCGGCGGCCGTAAAACGGGCCCCGCAGGGAGCCGTGTCCGCCGAGGGCAGCGGACCTGGCGCGTCCCTCCGGAGCCCGCTTCCACAGAAGCGCAAATTTGTGCCCATCCGGGTCTGTTTTCTAACGGTTCCTGGGAGGCTGCGGCCCTCTGCTCTGAACGCGCCTAGTTCGCTTCGAAGCCGTTCCAACCTAAGGCTGGGCCGTTGCGTCCCGGCGGCAAGCTGAAGTCCTGAACACCGGTTCCTCCTGGCGCTTTCGGAGTGTAAATTACAATTATTGCCACCACGGCGGTGTCGGAGCTGTGACAGTGACTCACATCACTGCAGGGAGGAATTAGTGTCTGCTGCGACGCCTCTTCCATCCCCGGTGATGGAAGGGACATGAGACAATGAATCAAGCGCGTATTTAGAGAGCTAAACAGGAATTATGAGTATTCGGCAGGGTGACCTTCATCTGGTCCCAGAGATTAGCTAAATGGGCTTAGCAGGCCTGTCAGTCTAGCGTGATATTCACTTCAATAAAAGATATAAAGATGGGGAGAAGAGCCCTCATCGCAAATCTGCGTTTTGAGCCAAGGCTGGAAACTGGCAGTCTGGGTAATGGCAGAGCAGGAACAGTGGCTGAGACGCACACGTACGCGCGTGCCCACTTCTGCTGGGACACCACCCAGTCTCAGCACCACGTGGGAGTCCGTGTCCTGGGTGCCCGCAGTATCGTCCCTCTCCCATCCCAGCCTGCCGAAAACCCCGCATGGGCGTCTGGATATATCCGTACCGCTCCAAAAGAGTGGTTTTGGGGCCAGCTTTCTGCCCAGGGTGGACACCCATCTCGCCCCAATTCTTAGGAGCCACTTGGCCACCTCTCACTGCAGGGAGGCTGTGGAAGAGCTATGAAATCATGACTGCTGCAGCCCGTTGTTGCCGTTTCCATCTAGCCGCTCACCATTCTTATTAGCTGCGGTCGTTTGCAGATGTTCAAGTGCTGCTAATTAAAGCCTTGGAGCTGAACCCACAAATTATCCCCGCAGCCAAACGTTCTGAAGGCAAAGCAACTCATTCAACTCGGTTTGCAGCAAACCATTGCAAACAGACGCGTCTCTCTCCTAATGTCACAATGGTCAGTGGGGCGTTATCTTCCTGCTGGCTGACGGTGATTTTCAGACTCGCTGCTTCTGTCTTGAAGATAATGACGCCCTTTCCTGCCACCAGAAATGTCCTGCTTATAATTGCACGAAGCTTTCAGACAAAAATCCCTCTCAAAGTACAGCAAAGGGTTGACCAAAAACATCTGATGAGTTCATGACAACTCATTTTGTTGCTAAACAAATGGAGTAAAAACAGTTTATATTTAAAATAAAGCTTCATTTGGTTGCATTCCTTTTTAGTTTAAGATAACTCAAAAGCTAATTGAAATCTCATGGTATGGGTGACGTGAGACATTTGACTCCAAAAGATGTTTCATCAACTTTTCAATTCACTTAAAATTCTGACAAAATATTTCTCTGGATTGGGAAAAATGTGTTTCCAATTCTTAGACTTGTATTTGCATGAATAAGAGTTGTTTGTAAAGCTTTAATTCAATCTACAATGGATTTGAAATTAATTAGTATCACAAATACTTCTGAACTTGGCTTGTATTCTCCCCAGATTCATTACACATGAACTTGTCACTATACATTACAGAGGAAGAGGCTATCCTGAAACTCCTCCCATACTAGCATCCCATTATTTGTCTAGTCCTGATTTCCATAAACTTGACTGATCCTAAATGTCACACACCTCACATTCAATGGAAGAGTGAAGGAAAAATGCCTTTAAAAGATTAAGGCTAGTTCCACTCTCCTTTGTGGGGAAATAAATTGCTGAAGTCTCTTTCTGACACAAAATTACTTCCTCTTCTGCTACTCTGCCTCAGCAAGGCTGGCTGATAAATCAAAGAGCGTGAATTCTGCCCACTGTCAGCCTTCACCAATCTACTGCTTGCCTTACTGTACTGGAATCCAGTCTCTTTGGATAGATAAACCCTGATTTAAGGTATTTAGCAACAAGAAAAGTTTAACATTTCAAAAATATTGTCCCCATATCTGAAGTCTATCAGTATCTGAAGCTTTGTGATGACTTAGAAGAAACGAAGAACACTGGGTGAAGCTGGTGACTCACAGTTCACAGTCAGGCTTTTTCTCCAGAAAAGGATGACCGTTCTGCAGAGCGTGAAGACAACAAAAGCATTTTATTTTTCTTTGGCTATTTCTACAGATCACTTTCATTAGAGAAAAATTAGACACATTTTTTATTAATTCATTTTCATATCCTTTTTCCGAAGCAAACGAAAAATTGTTCTTTTCTTGCAAATATTGAAGACTGATTTTCATTTTGGAATGGTCTCTTTCCTCTTGTTCTGCACTGGATCATAACTCCAAGCCTGTGTTAAACTGGTTTCTGAATCAATGAATAACTCGGAAGATGTTTCTAGAATCAGGAAAAAAATACAGATTGCCTTTGTCTCTTTTTGGTGTGTGTGTGCGCGCGCTTAGAAACTAAGTGTGATATCTTATGATCTTGTAGTCATTAAAGATTCCAAGACATTTTTCATAAGAAATGAGATTTTAAATGTTGTGTCTGGCTTCTTTCC